GGAGGGAGGATGGAGAGTAAATGCTAATGTGAAAAAGTTTCTTTCTGGGTGATAAAAATATTCTTAAATTATGGGTGATATTTGAAGTATGAAAATACACTACTGAGTTGTATGTACTCTTTAAATAGATAAATTTTATGGCAGTAAGTTATCTCTCAATAAAGCAGCTTTAAAAAATTTGGGTTTGCTATGTTTAAATTCTTTTTTTTTAAACTTTTTTTAATGTTTATTTTATTTCTGAAAAAGACACCAAGTGTGGGGAAGAGATAGAGAGAAAGACACAGGATCCGAAACAGACTCCAGGCTCCGAGCTGTCAGCACAGAGCCTGACGCAGGGCTTAAACCCACAAACCATGAGATCATGACCTGAGCCAAAGTTGGACTGAGCCACTCAGTTGCCCCAAAATTCTTACTAAAAATTCTAATGAAGTTGATTTTCATTATTCCTTTATTTTTACTTCTGCAAATTATTAAGAAGATGGCTTAAGAATATTTATTAAAAATAAGGTGAATTACTCCCAGATGGTAAATGTTGATGACTATTTTCTTTGCATACTGAGGGTTAAACAATCTTAAGTGGACATTTAGATTGTTAGTAATCTTTCCCTAGTATAAATAAAACTGCTTTCAACATTTTTGTTTATACATCTTTATAGAGTTGTAAAATCATTCCCTTAAGAAAAATTCCTAGACATGAAATTCTTGGTAAAAAGCATTTCTCTAGAGAGGTTCTACCAATTTATATTTCCAACAGCAATGTTCAAGAGGAAAATATGTTTTATTAGGAAATATGCTTCCCCTCATAGCTTACTAAAAAATACATAATAAGGAAAAAAAAACCTGTTAACAAACCACCAAAAGCAAAAAGCAAAAGAAAACCAACAAAAAAAGCAGTGATAATCAAAAGCTCTTTCAAATGTATTAGGCTGAATCTTTTCCCAATTCTGGCTTTAACTTACAAGAAATGGAAATTTTTATTATATGACATTTCTGAATGTAGGTTTTGCAATTCAGTATATTCCTAATTCTCTCAGAATAAATATGTCACTTAAAAATTATATTTATAGGCAGAGTATAAAGCACTTAACTTTCTCTTATTTAAAAAATATATTTATAGTTCTGTCTGCTGAAGGCTTAGAAGCAATAATACCCCTACAGCAGAAGGATACCCAGTGACTGAATCTTGGTTTCTAAAAAAACATCTTCCAATAAAAGGAACGAAGTCTCACCAGAAATGGCTGATTCTAGGGCCTAGGTAGGGAAAATAAAAAGCCTAGCATAGTGTCCCTAGGCAGGTGAATGGATAAACTATGGTACATGCAGATAATAAAGTATTATTTGACACTAAAAAGAAATGAGCTATCAAAGCATGAAAAGACACTGAGGAAACCTGAACATATATTACACTAAGTGAAAGAAGCCCATCTGAATAGGCTACTTACTCTATGATTCCAGCTATATGACATTCTGAAAAAGGCAAAACTCTGGAGGCATTAAAAAGATCAGCGGTTGCCAGGGATTAAGAGGGAGAGAGTGATGAATAGGAAGAGGACACAGGACTTTCAGAGCAGTGAAACTTTTCTAAATGATACTATAATGGTGGATACATGCCATTATTATACATCTGTCCAAACAACAGAATGTACACCACCAAAAGTGAAACCTAATATAAACTGCAACCTTAAGACTATTAATACTGTGTCAGTATAGGTTCACTGATCATAAAAAACAAATAAATAAATATGGGGTATCTTACAGTACCGGAAAATAAAAAAGCACTCAGAAAACGAAATGATAGGGGCATGTCAAAAGGATACAAGAGTTGATGTGAATGAGTTGCCAAATAGCTAAAACTAGAACTGTTTGAGCAACAAAATACATAACAGAACTAGAGTATAACCCAACCTATAAAATAAATATGCAAGTCCCTCCTGATATAAGTGAGTACAAAAATCAATAAGAGGGAAGAGATGACAAATGTTCCATAGAGAAGAATTCCAAAGACTCTCCCCTCCAGGAGGTGATGCTCAATTCCATCTCCCACCTCCCTAGAGTGCAGGTGGGTTAGACATGGTGACTTACTTCCAAAGAACCAAGAAAGGGAAAAATAGTGTATTTTCAGTGGAGAAACCCAGCAGATACTATTTTAGCCAAGTAATAAAGGTTAACATGGTTGTCACATACACCCTGATATGATAAGATCACTTCACCTCTACGGTATCATGCAATGCACAGTACTAGTAATGGGGAAACTGGACAAGAGGTATACAAAAAGTCTGTACTATCTGTGAAACTTTTATATATTTAAAAATTGCTCAAAATTAGAAAATTTGTTAAAAACAACAAAATTAAACTTTATTTTTTTTAAATGTTTTTTATTTATTTCTAGGAGAGAGAGAGAGAGAGACAGCGTGAGCAGGGGAGGGTCAGAGAGAGAGGGAGTCACAGACTGAAACAGGCTCCAAGCTCTGAGCTGGCAGTCAGCACAGAGCCCGACGCGGGGCTCGAACCCATGAACCACGAGATCATGACCTAAGCGAAAGTTGGACGCCTAACCGACTAAGCCACCCAGGAGCCCCACCAAAATTAAACTTTAAAATGGAGCCATGGAACCACTAAACCAACACAGATATCCTTTTAAAATGTGTTAACCTTCGGGGCGCCTGGGTGGCTTAGTCGGTTAAGCGTCCGACTATCGCTTGGGTCATGATGTCGCGGTTTGTGAGTTCGAGCCCCGTGTCGGGCTCTGTGCTGACTGCCAGCTCAGAGCCTGGAGCCTGTTTCAGAGTCTGTGTCTCCCTCTCTCTCTGACCCTGCCCTGCTCACGCTGTCTCTCTCTCTGTCTCTCTCCTAGAAATAAATAAAACATTAAAAAAAAATGTGTTAACCTTCTAAATGTAACCACCATTTACTCCATTTTGAATGTCTGCTCAATAGAGACGCTTGGGTGGCTCAGTCAGTTGAGCATCTGACCTTGGCTCAGGGCATAGTCAGGTTTGTGAGCCTCACATAAAGCCCCATATCAGGCTTACTGCTGTCAGCACGGAGCCTGCTTCAGATACTCTGCTCCCCTCTCTCATAAACTCTCTCTCAAAAACAAAACAAAACAGAATTCAAAAGTCTGCTGAATAAAATTAAAGAAAATGCAGAGGGAAGAGTAACAATTTTTTATTGGAGATTAAATCAGGCATTAATCTAAAACAGGAGGTACTGCATATTAATAGTCCTAGAACTATGCATATTCAACTAGATACATTTGACTGACATTACTAGAAACACTTCAAGACACATTAAAAAATACTGAACCTTATATTCTGCCAATTTAATCTTCTGTCAAGTTTCACTGTACACTATGTTCTATGGTTCACTGCATGTTACTGAGAAAGAGGGAACATATTTAATCCACTAGTGGTATTATAATGCCAAACACTTGGTAAATTTACACCTTTCACATATTATGACATTTCTGAGGGGAAGGTACTTTGCCACTAACAGATTAAAAAAAATGAAAACCAAAAAGTTAAGAAAGATTATCCAAAACTTGGATATAAAGCCGAAAGGTAGACAGTGTGTCCTTTCAATGGACTATGGGGACACAGATCCATTTAAACATTATTTAATTACTTATCAGAATGTACTTTGCTCTATTATTCTATTTACTATTGAATTAAATATCCCAGATTAAGTAAATTTACATGTTAATTTGTAGATTTTTGTCTAATAGAGCTGCAAATCGTTTCTGTCAGGTAGAAGAGAAAATTCCAAAGATTAAGGTTTAGTCACCTATAAGACATAAACCAGTATGTAACTAACCTAGCAATCTTATTCTAAAATTCCTTTACTAAACTGCCTACGAACACACAGCTCTTCAAAAGCTCTCTGAGCCAGTCTTACTTCTTTACGTGTTCCCTCAGTAATTAATGAATTGAATAAAATATTTGATACATGTTCAGTTTATATATGAGGCATGATTTTAATTTTTTAAAATTATGCTTTGAGGGGCGCCTGGGTGGCTTAGTCGGTTAAGCGTCAGACTTTCGCTTGGGTCATGATCTCGCAGTTCGTGGGTTCGAGCCCCGCGTCGGGCTCTGTGCTGACTGCCAGCTCAGAGCCTGGAGCCTATTTCAGAGTCTGTGTCCCCCTCTCTCTCTGACCCTCCCCTGCTCACGCTGTCTCTCTCTCTCTCCTAGAAATAAAGAAAGCCTTAAAAAAAATTAAAAAATAAATAAATAAATAAAATTATGCTTTGAAAGGCATAAGGAATTTTCTATGACATGCCTCACATGACCTTTTCCCCAAACAGCTCTGCAAATCCTACACTCCCACAGGGCTATTACAATAACGGGTTTTCTTCATGGTATTCTGATAATATTGTTAATTATCTGGTTATTGGAGTCATCAAATAACACTTTCTGTCTCAAAGATAAATCAGAAAAATGAATCTAATTAAGTATATGTTATTTTCAAGACCATGTTGATCTGACTTCCAAGACTTTCTGATTTGTCACATGTCGCTCCTGATGGTTCTGTGGGTTAATTTTTTTACATTTAAGCCAATTACTTAAAAAAATTTTTTCTTCTTCCATTTGTTTCAGGTACTACTACTACTTTTTTTCTTTTTTATTTTTTTTTAATACAATGAACTAATGCCTGCCTCAGATGTGAACTAAAACTGCCTTTAGTTTCATAAACATGATTCAGTACACTTAAATTTTGAGATTTAGGCCAAAAAAAAAAAAGATTAGCAAAAAGAAAAAAAACTCACTTCATCTTTCCAGTACTGCATTTTTTACTAAAACCAAAAGTCTAGACTAATGCATTTTTGGAAGAAACTTGGTGACTTTCAAATCTAAATGTACTTTGGTGAATTTAAGTGGACTAATCATAAACCCTAATTTCAATTTTTAGGTTTTAGCAACGGGAAGAAAAGCATTATTTCACTCTTACCCAACCCATAATCAGTAGTCCATTAAAGCAAAAGAGAAAAGAAAATTCTGTACCCTGACATCACTTCTAGGTGAAGTTGTCCTGAAACAGTTAAGAAAGCAGGAACATTGAAGAAATTCTCCTCAGGCACCTTAATTTTACTTGAAGGCTGCAAATGAAAAACATGAACCACAAAAAGCTATGAGATGCTTTGTTCTACTTTTCGCATTCACATACATGACATAACTAAAAATTACAATGCAATTAAACATATGTTAGGACAGGTCATTTTCTTGAAAATAAAAGCAGTTCTCAGTATACTCTTAAAAAGAGAAAATGCCTACTTGGAAAGTGCTAAGGTCAAGGAAGTTTGCTTCATATTTTCAAAACAACCAAAGGACAAAGTACTTTTGTCACAAAATACATTTCTGCAGAAAAAGTAATTTTGACTGGGTGACAAGCCAAAATAAGAGATTATGAATTAAAAATTTTAAATGTGAAGAACTATATAATCTCTTAAAATTCTGACCTATGTTTGAGATTTGATTTTCTCAAGGGAACAGCCTCTAGAACATGTGTTGTCCTATTATTAAAGTTTTAATAATAATGCTTTTAATGCAGATTTGTAAACACAACATAAACTTTTATATACATTATTTCGTTTAATTTCCACCACAACTCACAGAGGTAAAAGGAGCAGAACCTTATCTTTAAAAGTGTTGGGAGCAACTGGGGCACCTGGGGTGGCTCAGTCGGTTAAGCATCCGACTCTTGGTTTTGGCTCAGGTCATGATCTGATGTTTCATGGATTTGAGCCCCACGTTGGGCTCTATGTGGACAGGGCAGAGCCGGCTTGAGATTCTCTCTCTCTTCCTCCCTCTCTGCTCCCCCCACAACTTGTGCTGCCTCTGTCTCTCTCAAAATAAATAAATAAACTTTAAAAAATATATTTAAAAGATATTGGGAGCAATTAGATTTAAAGATCTTTAAAAAATTTACAAAATAGGGTGCTCATTCTATTTGAAACAGGTAGGAAACAAGCCAGGCAATATTTACAACAAGCTAAAAAAAATTCTTTGCAGGTCAAACATAACTTAAATAGTATAAATTTAAGAAAGCTTCTGGATCCAGATATGAATATTTATACTCACTTTTTTGGAAGAAAATTAATTTACTTTTCCTTATACCTCAAATTGCTCATTTGTTTGAAAGTGTTTTGATGTAACAGTGAAGTTACTATAAAAGCAACAAAGCCTATTTTATTTCATTTTAAGTTTATTTATTTATATTTTGAGAGAGAGAGTGCACAAGCAGAGAAGGGGCAGAGAGAGAGAGTGGAAGAGAGAGAATCCAAGCAGGCTCTATGGTTGGTGGAAGCCCCACACGGGGCTTGACCTTAGGACCATGGGATCACCTAACTGAGCCATCCAAATGGCTGCAAAAAAAGCCAATTTTAAATACGAATAGAGAATGTGAGACTCCTTTTAAGAGACTTAGTATCAAATACTGAATTACAGCAATACATAAAACGAAGGCCTCTTGTGCCTTGGTGGCTCAGTTGGCTCAGCATCTGACTCTTGATCTCGACCCTGGTCTTGATCTTACGGTTATGAGATGGAGCTCAGCACTGAGCTCCGTGCTGTGCACGAAGCCTACTGGAAAGGAAAGGAAAAGGAAAGGAAAGGAAAAGAAAGGAAAAGAAAAAAAAAAGAAAAGAAAAAAAAGAAAAGAAGGCACCTTATTTAATTCCATTGGTTCTAAAAATATTGCCTATCATATATAGGCATCTATGTGTATGAATGAGAAATCTAGTGTAAAAATGACCAATTAAAAACCATTCATTTATTTTGTAATTGCCTGTTATTTTTCAGACTTACTTTGAAACAGGTCCTAAATGTCCTATCACTGCTTTTATTTTATTTTTTTAAATATTTATTTATCTGGGGAGGGGAGGGGCAGACAGAGAGAGGAAGAGAGAGAATCCTAAGCAGACTCTGGTCTGTCAGCATGAAGCCCAACCATGAACTGTGAGATCATGACTTGTGCCAAAATAAAAAATCAGACACTTAACCAAGTGAGCCACCCAGGCATTCCCTATCACTGCTTTTAAAATCCATATTCAGGGGCACCTGGGTGGTTCAGTCAGTTAAGCGTCCAACTTCAGCTCAGATCATGATCTCACGGTTCGTGGGTTCAAGCCCCGCCTCGGGCTCTGTGCTAATAGCCAGCTCAGAGCCTGGAGCCTGTTTCGGATTCTGTATCTCTCTCTCTCTCCCTCTCTCTGACCCTCCCCTGCTCACGCTGTCTCTCTCTCTCTCCTCTCTCTCTCGCTCAGAAATAAATAAAAAACATTAAAAATGAAAAAAAAATCCATATTCACTGGGATTCAGTGAATCCCATATTCACTAAAAGGATGTTGTTTCTAAGAACTTAAGTACTCAATACTAACATATTTGTCCTGACATGTGTTAGGATTTCAAAATAAATAATATATATTTCCTCATTTTTTACAAAGTAATTATGATTCAAATAAGGCCCAGCACATTTATAAGAATATTATATTTTGTCCTTCCTTTCACCTCTTTAGTCCATAATTTGTATTGGTATCTTACCTCAGCTTCTCCTAAAGTGATTTCTCTCCTTTTCTATACATAAAAAATGTCTAGTTTTTATGACTACATTTTAGTCTTTCACGTATTAGCATTTGTACAAAATGGAATCTGATCCTTTTGCATCTCTTTAATCCAACTTATTTATATAGGTAAAAAATGTCACTACTCAATTATGCCTTCCAATATCATATGTACTTACATACTGAAATTCATACTATGCTTTAAAAATTACTTCCTTTTTCTCCTATATGTTGTTTACACATTACATTGATTTTTTAAAACATCTGTATGAATTAAGTTATATTACCTATACGTTTTACTTCAGAATGTTAAAGAGACATTACAAAACATTTTAAAAAGGAATTACTGTGAGTGATATTGGCAAACATGGTAGGATGGGTACATCTGAAGGACTGTCCCTCCACAGAACAACTAAAAATAATGAGTAAAAACTGTCAGAACCAACTGTGGGAACTCTGGAAAATAGCCAAAGGTTTATAGCAACCAAACACATGCTGAATTAAGGGAGGGGAAATTTACAAGTGACAGACTGCACCCAACAACAGCAGACTGCACTTTTGTCTCAAGTACACATGGAATATTGTTGCGGATAGACCATATCCTAAGACATAAACTAAAAAAGAATAAAATCATACATTTTATCATACAAAGGAGTTCTCTCCTTTGGCCATAATGGAGTGAAACGAGAAATGTTCAATGGTGTGGAACATGAACAATTTGGTGGTTCCTTAAAAAGAATTACTATACAACCTACCAATTCTACTCCTACATATATACCTAAAAGAATTAAGGCCAGGTACTCAGAACACCTGGGTGGCTCAGTCGGTTAAGCGTCTTACTCTTGGTTTCAGCTCAGCGCATTATCTCACAGTTTGTGAGTTCGAGCCCTGTGTCAGGCTCTATGCTGAGAGCTTGGAGCCTGGAGCCTGTGTCAGATTCTGTGTCTCCCTCTTTCTGCCCTTCCCCCGCTGGCGCTCGCTTGCTCGCTCGTTCGCGCTCTCTCTCAAAAATAAATAAAATATTAAAAAAAAAGAAAAAAGAGCCCGGTATTCAAATACATACATGTACCTTAATCTTCATAACAGCACTATATGCTGTGGCCGAAGGTGGAAATAATTCAAATGTCCATTAACGGATAAATGAATAAACAAAATTAATATATGCAAACAATGGAATAATATTCGGCCATAAGATGAAATGAAATACTTATATACACATTAAAACATGGCTAACCTTGAACATGTTATGCTAAGTAAAAGACATAAAAGGACACATGTTGTATGATCCCATATATTAAGAAATGTCTAAAAGAGGTAAATCCATAGAGACTGGTGACAGGCAGGGGTCTGGAGTGGGGATGAGAAATGGGAATAGGGCAGTTTTCCTCTGGGGTAATGAAAATGTTTTGGAATGTGATACAGGTGGTGGTTGTACAACATGATAAATGCACTAAATGCCACAAAATGTAACCTTTAATAGTTAATTATATATTATATGAATTTCATGTCAATTTTTTAAAAAGCATATATAAACAAGTAACTATTGGATCTGACAGGGTCAAAAACTACTAACATAACACTGCAAATTTAAGATTTGTAATCTTAAATACTTGTTAGTACTGAAGAATAAAATATACCAATTATGCATCCAATTTTGTGACTTTGCCAGTGGGTAGAACTTCTTTAACAAGATCCAACAAATCCAAATCATAAAATGATATATGGACAATTTTTTTAATTAAAAAAGTTTTTATTTATTTTTGAAATTGAGAGGCAGAGAGAAAGAGCGACAGAGGATCCAAAGCAGGGTCTGCAGTGACAGCAGAGAGCCCAATGCTGGGCTCAAACTTAAAAACCATGAGATCATGACCTGAGCTGATATTGGACACTTAACCATTCGAATGAGCCACCTGGGCGCCCCGACAAATTTGACATTAGCATTGCGAATTCCTATTTAATAAAGAAAGTATATAGGCAAAGTCAGAAGAAGAATGCAGAGTAAGAAGTAAATATTTGCAGGGCATCTAGCTGGCTCAGTCAATAAATAAGGAGACTCTTGATCTCAGGATTGAGAGTTTGAGCCCCATGTTGGGTGTAGAGATTACTTAATAATAAAATCTTTTTAAAAGAGAATAAAATATTTTCAGCATCTAAAACTGACAAGTGATTAATGCACAGGATATATAAGGACCTCCTGCCAAGAAAACAAGAAAATGAGCTGCTTCCCAACTGGGCAAGAGATAATGAGGAGAGATTTACAAAAAGGAAAATTCAAATGGCTAAGATGAATGAGGAAACACTCAAATTCATTACAAATTAAAGAAATGCAAATGAAAATCAGGCATTTTAAGACAAATTCATTACATTTACAAGACTGGCAAAGATTAGAAAGTTGTTTAATGTCAAGTCTAGGTGTAGACTCAGGGTATGATAGGCAGATTTCTAAGATGCACCCTAAGATTCTCAGCCCCTCGTTTATTCAGTCAACCACTAAGGCAGGAACTGCCAAGAAGGGGTTTTGCAATTAAATTTCCAAT